AGTGTTATTATGAACGCGCCATCTATTAGTAAGTGATGGAATTAAAAAGTGGCATTAATATAACCGGATGAATGTATGAAACATTGAAAAGTCGTAAAGCATAGAATTTATGCTGAACAGACGTTATATTCCAAGAAATATGCGAAGACACCTTGACATATTGTCTTCTTTGATTTCGTTGATCCGTTTGATCTCTATAAAATGAATTCATTCCTTTTCAAAGATTATAAATAAGAGCGAACTCGTTTGTGGTCTATTTATATTAGTTACACGATGAAGACTTGGATGTGTGGTGAGGGTGGTGCATCCTCATCTCATCCTCTGGCGCGGTATTCAAATGATCCAAACTCGCCTATTTTCCGGTTAGTTGGTCTCCGTAATTCGACAATCAGATGCATCGCCGCACGCTCGGTTTCTATGATATTCGGTCGTTCCGTTTCCATTGTTAGTTAGGATGAGCAGTATTTCAACCTCCGGGAGGAAGGCGCGTGCTCATCTTAAATCACGAAGATTTTCCACTCGTTATTTATTTTTTTATTTGCAAAGAACCAAGGATCAATGAAAGTGCAATTATTTACTTTAGCGTTCGCTTTTGCCCGGCCGGTACTCGGTGGGTACTTTGTGGTACGAGAAGGAAATTGCATATCCATTGTAGATGACGCGAGATGATCAGCAATTCATCCTTCATTTCGACTCTACTTTAATCATATTGAATTATACATTATCTATCACTTTCAGATCTATCTCTTTTATTTCCAACCTATGATGATCTAATGATTACTATCCATATTTCTCCCTACCTCGTAAACTAAATAAACACATATAAAAATATACTGCTTCCTCGAGGCTTAGTAAATACAATCTTCAATTTTTACAACTGAGTACAGCAAAAGAAGGAATTACACAAATATGAACCTAAAATCATTATCTAATTGCTATTTATAGTTTTCCGTAAATATCACAAAGACACAGCTTAATTAATCGTTTTTCTTAACCTTATTACAGGAAAAGAATGCTACAAATATAATGCTTATATATACACTTGGTTCTCTTTTTATGCGGTAGATACGTTCCACAGGAAAACGCATAAAAATAAATCGCACAAAAAAGGACTAGACACACGTATAAAAATAAAGGATACGTTCCATATTTTTTTAAAACTGCATAAAACTAAATCAATGAGTTACAATATACCGCATACAATAAATCGCATAAAAAAGGGTTTATTAAATTTCAGAAAAATAATTAGTCTTACTATATTTTTTCTGAAATGTTTATTTATAATTTTATAAAAACGTTAACAATCATAGACAAGTTTATTAAATTTCAGAAAAATAATAATTTGCAAACTGGTTCGAAATCACTTTCATCACTAGAAGAGATAGTCAGCATATCAGATCTATGTCCTGAAGATAATGATTCTTCACAAGTAAAATTAGTCTCAACTTCGCATGTTGATTGCTATTTTTTTTGTACAATTCCTGATATCCAGAAATGCAATTCTAAAGCTCGCGTTGAAACTTGAATGCTCGTTCAGAATTATCATTTTTATCGATGAAATGGTTTTCCAATTTGTGTCAAAACGTGTCAAAATGGCCTAAAATAGTAATTTAAAATAAAAACCGCATAACTTCAAAACCGCATAAAAAGAGTACGCATAAAAAGAGGACCGAGTGTATATCGAAATTCCGACAATCTAAATCCCGACAATCATAATCTCGAAAGTATCAAAATCTCAACAACCATAACCGACAGTATCTTTTATTATTTGATATAGACTTATTCGCAATAAACCATAACAAAAAGAAATAATCTAAAATACAATAGATTATTATTATGGTATTTGTTTTCATTGACTTATTTCTTTTAATGAATGTCACAAATACTTCTGTTTGTTTTTACAAATTTGCTAAACTTTACATTTTAGCTTTTTTCACCAAAAGTTTTCTATTAATTAAAATAGAAACTGAATCAAATAGAATCTATTTGATTCAGCAATGAACAATGATTGATGTATGAGTGGTATGAGTGTATCAAAATATACAATAGTAAAAGGAGACAGATATTTCCAAGTTGTTGTTCTTGTATTTTTTTTCTCAATACTGTTTGAAATCTGAATGGTAGGAGTGCTCGATTATTTAAACGTTTGATTGATAAATCATATTCCATTCAAATTATGACTAGACGTGTTTCCTTATGTTTAGAAGAAATGTTTTTATTTTTTTAACAAGGTAAACAATTGGAACAGACATGTGTCTACACGAACTGTATTATCACAAGCGTAGTTCCACAGTCATGTAAATTACAATGAGTTGATTATCAACACCTTCGAACGTGGACACACCTTTCGGAATCGTCGAGAGAGAGTGAGAGACATAAAAAAAGAGAATACACTTTTTCTATACTTCTATTCAGCGTGACTTTGAAGCTGCTCGCCACACGGAAAGCGGATTGTGTTTGTTACCACTGCCAATCACTCAAATGGACCGCATAATGAATGGTTACACAACCGTCCGTTGTCTTTGGTAAATGGAAGGCTAATGAACAGCAAATGCTTAAGAAGCAAGGGAATGGCCCACCCGTGCTCCATGCGATACAGATCATTCGAATCGGTAATCGATATGCTCCAATTAAACTAACGCAATTTGCTTCCTGACCAATTAATAATAATAACCACACACACACATCACACTACGAAATTAAATGCTCGAAGAGTTCAAAGCTGGTACAGCTTTAATTGACGTCGTAAACTTGGACCGACCTCGTCCCACTTCCAACGGATAAATACTCTGCATTGTCTTAATTCGCTACATCAACATACGTATATGAATATTTAGCTATGAAAAAGAAACAAAATAATAAAGATCTAAAAAAAAACAACAGCGGATGATGCTTGAACGATGATGTGATATATTTAAAATTCGCTTTAATCACATCCATATTTAACGAGACTCCTCTAAATCATTAAAAACGACAACTATAAAATTCCAGTTTAAATTGAATTACGCTTACAAACAGCCTAAGTTGTATCAATAATATTTGGATAAATAAAAAATTTAAGATAAATACTAGCTAGTACTAGTACTGTGGACTAACCATTACGTAAATATCTTATTTTATAGATGAGAATTAACATAGTGAAAGTACAATTTGGTAAGGGAAGAGCAATTGTCATTAATGAATTGATTAGTTGTGGAATCTTTTGAAAGTGGAAAAATACTGAGTAGCTATGGAAGTACATAACACTTCAAGGGTCCATACAAGAATATAAAAAATATTAGTTAATAATTTTTGATCAAAAAAATCTAGATTCATAAAAGTAGTAATCATGATTATTCTGCAATTAGCTGTCAAAATTGAAACATCGATTTATTAAACCTGATTTCCACAAAGAGACAGATTCCGAATTGAGAATTGTATATAAATTTCGTTCTCTATTTGGATGGAACGAGCGTTTAGGAGAGCGTCGATGCGAGAACGATGACTGTTTACATCCTATTTCTGTTATTGAAATTCGTCTTAAATAATTCATGCGTTCTATTTTTACGTTTGATTCACACGCCATTTGCACGTCTTCCAGACACATCCAGAAATGGTCTTCGTGTATGCAGATGCCGACGCAATAATACATCTGCAACGCTCGAATCGGCTGTATTCACAGTAGATGTTTGAATGGAAACGACTCAATCCGTTTGGGGGAGTTAAGAGGAGGTAAGAGAGGATGAGGACGGAACAAGTTAGAAGCGCTGAAAGTTCAATGGAGACGTGTATTGATTTAGAGTATCATTGTTTGTGGTCATCGAGGTGATCAGGGAGCGCGTTATGTCGTCACTTCCGGTACGAAATCCATTAGGTAACTCGTTCCTGTTTCGCTTAGTTCTTCGTTGTTGTTTTTTTTTTGCATTTTCATAGGTTGTCATCGATATTTTCGTCGTTAAAATACTCGCCGACAACGCAAAACGAGGCGACATTGAAACGGACACATGTTCTGCTCCTATACACACGTAGAAGACGAACGGGTTTAAATTGATCTTGTTAATTACTCGTTTTTGCATGCATTCCAGTTCTAAGAGGCTATTCCAATTTAACCGCAACATTCTTCTCGATTCTTTTTTTCCTTCTTCTGCTTCTTAAACCTCCATTCTTTACGTAAACTATAAACATCCAATGACCACCACAGTTCTGATCTTCCGTGGAATTTGGCCGATCGTAAAAATGAAATTGGATCAGATATCCACAAGTATAAATAGAAAACGAGTCGGTATGTTCAATTGCACATCGTAAATTTTCAAAGTGTAAACCTTACATTTTTTTATTACATCCTTCATCTTGCTTTTCCCCTAATCGTTTACTTACTGCATGACGCAACAGTGAATTTTCATCGTAATCAGAATTGCGTAAACTCGAGCATTCCCATCCGTTATTAATAACATCAAATCGTTTTTATTAATTATATCTTGTTTATTAACCAAGTTTTGCAATTTCAAATGCTCTTATTCCATTTGCACCCCAATTTTTCAATAAACATATATTCGCAATTGATTATTTCTACTATAATTCAATAAAAAAAAACTATTTTATTGCAATTAAGTAATTTTAATTATATAATAAATTAGGCTAAAATTATATAATGGATAAGCTGATGATTAAGTAAATCTACATGTTAGTTAAATAACAGGAGATCATTATAATAAGTTCATGTGAGGCTTATTTTTCAATTGGAAATAGGTATTTGGAAGTAATCAGAGAATTGAAGGAGATGCAAATTGCACGGTAATTTCACTGAAATTATTCACTGAAGAGCTATAAAATTGCGGTTTAATTGCTTCCACGAGCCACGAAGACGACGAGGACAACAATGTACTGCACTCACGGGTAATTTGAGAGACCTTGAAATACGTTAACGGCCATTTGAAGGTACATAACTCGCGCAAACTTTGAATGCGATGGATGAGTTGTTGGTTGTTGCAGTAAGGTGAACTGTGTTTCATTTCACTCACGTTTTATCCGTGTCTTTCATCTCCATGGGTCTGGAGATGCAGTGTCTCATCTGCTGGGTGATTCCTCCTCCGCAGGAGCGAGAACATTGGGTCCAGTTGCCCCAAGAGGACCAAACTCCAGGAACTCGTGTCGTGTTCCCAACTAGTCTCTCTTTAAACATCTGATGAACCTGGAAAACATATGTTTACATTTAGTGGTTTTCAAATTATACATGATATTACCGGCTCGGATCAAAATCCCGACTTTCGAAATATCGAGATCCATAATCCCGACATTATCTTTTATTATGATATAGACGCATTGACTAAGTTGAATGAGGATTGCTAAAATCTGATAAAATGTTCGAAATTTTGATACCGTCAAAATTATGGTTGTCGGGATTTCAACACTGTTGGGATTTTCAGTATGTCAGGATGATATTACTTCAAATGTGATCTTGATTTACAATACAACTTGATTTTTCTTAGTTCATTTCGAATTTACATTCTAAATAAGTACGTATACAAATTTGTATTGATTTAAGTTATTTAAGAATTTTAATTTACTTAATTTCAACTGATGATACCTTAAGTTCGCTTAAATGAAGTAAAGTAAATTTAATTTCTGAATATTAGCTTATTTTTTGATAAAAATCATACATTATAAATATATATACTAAAATAACAAACAAATAAATATAAAAATTCCTATAAAATGGTTTAATTAAAAATGTGTACTTTCTTATTAACTTATTAATCTTTTCTAGCAATTCAACTTTGTCAAATCCAAATTGCAAATAAATGAGTCTCAATTTATCTGTCTAAGCGATTAACCTTTACAATAATCTTTCATATCATGCTGTCAATCATTGTAAATGATAATCATTATAATATTGCTTTATGCAAATAAACGTTCGGTAGCATGAACACATATTATTTTGTTGGTTTCATTTGAATAAGTAGCAATTATTCAATAAACAGGAGACGTGCACAAATATCTTGAGGTGCAATTTTTCTTGTTTTCCTTGGTTGATGGACGAGCGCATTTGCATTCAATCAGATCGTAGCAAAAAAAGGCACTTCTCGCGTTAAAATGGACTAACCGGGCATCGTTTCTCGCATGGATAGTGGAGCTATTCATCGGCGAACCTCACAGCATATTCTCAACGTTTAAATTCCTGCCTGTATCTTCATCCAACTCTTCAACATCTCAGATACAAGACACCTCTGGTAATTCAATAGACTTCTTAAAGTTTAATTGGAAACACCTGACGTCGTTTCGCATTCATTATTTGCAATTCGAAAACAAGGATTACCTATGCTTATCCCGTAATTATCCCGAAGCGTGATCATCGAACGGAGCGGAAGGATCATTCCGTCATCGATAAACATAACGCATTGTGAGGGAGTTTATGCAAATTGTAATTGGGTAAAAAAAGACGTGAGCGTGAAGAAGGCTCCTCACGTACCTCAACTGTTTCGTCCATTATCACCATTCCAACGTGTGCATCAACGTTTCTAGAGGATGAAGACCCGGATTATGCTGATCCCAATAATTGTCACTTATAGCTGAAGTTATGATGATGTCGCACCGATTTTTCTTTTATTATTATTCTCCGTGAGAAACTGCTTTGGTCAACTGCATTGCATTTCGGTCACGTTGCGGACCCTAATCAGAGTCTCTTCTTTCTACAGCATTTCACATATATAAACTTATAAACGGAGACTCATTTCAAATTCAGTTTACAGTAAATATATTATAATATATTACCGAATGATGATTTCGACAGAAATCGAGGGGAAATTTGAATTCGGTCTTGAATTATGCATCGTTTTCTGGCGAATCGATTCTCACGAAAACATACAATTCCACCAATTAAACCCATACAAATTAGTTCAATTTAACTCAGATCTATACAATTACTATTTTTTTTAGAATAAACTTTATTATTTTCTCGTAAGAATTCTAAAATGAAACCAAGAAAATCCAAAATAATTAAATTTTCTCGTATATTTATTTACAATCTTATTTTATTAATTCAAATTCAATTTATTATAGAATTATTTTTAATCACACAAAAATTCTAACTTATTTTTTTTTCAATTACATTTTGATAGAAAATTTTACTAAAAATTCTAATTTACCGCCATACAAATCTGTTTCAACCCGAACTAATTGAGAACTTTAAAACAGAACGATCAAATGTACAAAAAAAAAGTAATTTAGTGAACTAATTTAAAAAAAAAAATACTCAAATGAAATTTACTTTGTTTTGAAATTTTCAAACCGTACTATAGTGAATCAGCATTGATCGAAGCAGCACTATGCGCAATATTGCATTTTTGAGATAAATTCATAAACTTACACATAAATCATAAGATTTATGTGCGTTTGATAATTTAAAATCTTAATGAACATTTATGTTTCCTCTAAAAGCAAATTCTTTTTTTGTTAAGCTCAATCAAAGAGAAAATTACTGTTAGAGTTGCGCTTAAATTAAATACATATTCTACTTAAGGAAAAAACATATGAAAAAATTGAAGAATGGTAGAAAGTAGCGTTAAAATAAATTATGTTCGTAAATATCCTCCAACTAAATAATTTAAACATTTGTTTATTTAAATTAAATTAAAAATTGTTTTATTAATAATAATAATACAATTTAATATTGAAATTATTTACGAAGTGTTTTTTAGTCGACGTTTGTGAGAATAAACTGTCAGGACTTCGCCTTGGGTTGTGAAAGAACAATGGTCGTACGAAGAGGATTCTCGAAACCTAACACTTTGGAATTTTTAGGCCTGAAGCTATCAGTTTTATCAGTCAAATTAGTAATTAAATATTAAATTATGTTACTATTAAAATCGATAAAAATGCTATATTTCCCAAACATCTAGATTTCATATTTTGAATCTATTCAATATATTATAGTTTCCGAGAAAATCACTAAAATGTTGCATTTTTGAATGTTAATTTTATGTTTATTTTCTTTTTATCATTAACATGGAATATTTCGTATTGAATTTGATTAATGTTTATGTAATTTATTAATAAAATAGTTTAAATTCTGCCAGTGTTAAATTGTTAAATCTGAGGAAGAATTTTAAATTGTGTTATTGTTAAAGTATACTTAGAAATCTAAGAATAGTTTTATCCTCAAAAAGGAAGCAAAACGATGGAAGAAGATGCGGGTTGATCCTTTTCCAAGGAGAATTCTGTAGTAGTAAAGTAGTAACGACCGGAGATCCATTAGTTGATATATGGGTCATAACTTCTCCTTCGGCAACTTCAGTGAAGAAGACACGGCACTGAGCAAACATTGAATAATGAAGTGGCCGAACGCACGATGGCGCCAGTGTTCCAGCATCTTTTCATCTCCGAAAGATCAAAGACACAATATTTTCCAGAAGATATTTGAAGATAGAGAAAGAAAGAGAGAGTATACGTAACTGCAGCATACCAGACAATGAGAAGGAATGCTCTTTGTTCGCGCCCATTCTTTATTCATCTTAAGATGAGAGATTTATGCTTCTCTTTTCTGGATCGAGGCTGTACGAATCCTGCATGAATCGGGGTTAATCTCCGATTCGTTCTGTAAATAATATCGACGGAGATGTCTTCTCCCGGCCTTATTAATGGGACGCCGACACGCGAAGAATGCACGACTTTAATTAGGAAGAAATTCCTCATTGTTCGGAGCAATTTCTTTTTAATAATGACCATACAGATTCCCGCTTTTACAGCCCTCAATAAACGTGACTTTGTAACTATTTTATTGCTCATTACGCACCTAAAAGGGATAATAAACACTGCACAGAATTTTTTATATTATGTAACTTTGTGCTAATATAAAATATATTTTGTTCTCTTCTAAACATTCCAATACACACACTTGGATTTCTTACGTCGAGTGGGATACATTTGTATCCCACTTTAATAGTTTTACTTAGTTTATGTATACATTAAAAACAAAGAACAAACATTGTTTCTTTGAAACCAATTATAAAACAATTTAATACTTAGTTGTTTTGGAATCGATTCAATCTGAAGACTCTACTACGACAATAAACATACTATGAACTAAGATTACATGAAATCTGGAACAAGAATGTTTGAAGGCACGCGAGCATAAACCCTGGGATACACTAGTATCCCATGCGTGTTAAATGAATATCTGATCTAAGTATACAAATTCTGCTTTTTATTACGTTATTAATATTTTCACAATTGTATTAATGATTGATTTCAATATTTTCGCTTTACGAATTTCTCATTTTACGATATTATTAACATCGATGTTTCGATTTAATTTAGCAATAAAACAATATATTTTGACGATAGATTCAATAAAAAATGAAATGAAATTACGGACATGATTTACATAATAACACCTCGAAATTCCACTGCTCGTTCGACTATGACTGCAGAATTTATGCGTTGCAAATTAGTGCCCATTTAGTACGTAATTTTATTAACTTTTCAACCTATTCAGCTTCGTAATTTACATATCTTACATAACACGTTTGAATTATCGATCTTGCACCTTAACTTGATCTAATTCAATGCAATAACATTTTCAAAATTCAATATTATGAAACGAAAAAAAAAACTTAATGGAATAATTACTTAAAATTTAAATTAATCAATTTGATTACACAACGATTAAACATTAATTAATCAATTATTTTGTCTCTCACGTTACATTATATAATTCCTATATAAATTTTTATTTTGTATTAAATATAACAGGGTTGGGCATTTAATTCTCTTAGAGCCGCATGCGGCTCTACGTTGAGGCTACTATTGAAATCCATGTATTTAATATTATGGAGTGGCTCTTTAATATATGAAAAATCGAATTGCGGCTCTTATTGACCTCATGCGTGCCCACCCCTATTATATAACAACCATTTACTTAAGATATTCAAAGTCCATAATTTAGTTTAAGTAAACTTCTTGTAATTATAAAAAAAGGTGTTAATGTGTCAAATTCACTGAAAAGAAACACACAAAGATAAATAATAAAACGGTGTGAAATGACCGTTAAAATCCTGATTTTAAGAGTTGTGACAAGATAAATAAAATCCCACAAAATACATCGTTTTTTTCTTTAATGTCCGATGAGATTATAGAGGAGCTTAAGGTTTGTTTTCACGTCTTCAGAACAAACACAGTTCCAGTCGAGTAGAGGACTTAATAACTACCGAATAAGGTGATGATGTAATGATCGTTCCGACACGGTGATACATCTGCACGATAATTAAGTGTTTCCACTTCTGAATGTCCGAGTCCAACAAAAAGATTAAAATTATATAATACAACAACTACATAGATTTCTGAAACTTTCGTTACTGCGTTTAAAAAATTCCAAGGCCTACTTGTCTGGCGCCAACATAACTACAAAAAAAATCTGAATTTCAACGAATTTGTAACAGATCAAAACCAAATTCTGTAATATTGATTTTTAATTATTTAAAAAATCAATACTTCGTTCACTTTAAATAATAAATTTAATTTGGTGTGTGTTCCTACTATTTTATTGAGAAATTTGATAATATGAAGACACTTTGTATAATTTAAAATTTCAACTTTGATTCGGAAATTTCATACTTTTATATCACAAAACAACAGATATTATTCATTTTAAGTATTATATTCAATATAGATTAAGATTTTAGTATTTGTTGACAAATTTAACAAAATATATTTTACTATTAACTTACTTATATTTTATTCTAAAGCTTTACTAAAAAATGTAATTAATATTTAACAAGTTTCTTTGTTTGACATGAACTTATACTAGATTTAAAAATACCAATTAATAAACGTCAAATTTGGCTCTAAACTGCATGTGGCTCTATTAATAACAAATTGCGGCTCCCAGAGGTAGCAAATTGATTTCACAAGTAAAAATTGCAATTATACGTGCGGCTCTCCAGACTTTGTGGCTCTTTGCTACAAGAAGGTTGCCGACCTATATACATTTAAACAAGTTATTGAGATATTCGCTATAATATTTTGCAAATCGAGATTGTTGAAATCCACGCGAATTGAAAATAACTAACGTTAAAATATTGATTCTTGTATCTAGGATTTAGCCTGTAGCTTGTAGAGAATAAACCTGTAATAACATTTCTCCCATTTCAAAACAGCTCTCGTTTCACAGCACTTATTATAATTACGAGCATAACGAATTTCCGATTCATTTCTTTACTTTTTTGTTCCGTTGCCATTACACTAATCTTAATAACAGTGATTCACAACTTACGTGCAATGGGTATCCATTGAAGCGGGACTTTCGAAACTTGTGCGACGATATTACGGATATCGAATTGCGGACCAACAGAACGATCACTGCAAACCTAAATAAAATAAAGAAAAAAGATTAGTCAAAATGACATTAAATGTTTGCTAGATATACACAGAGATGACGCTTCAATAGATTATTAATTATTTAATAAAATCTTATAATAAAACTCAAATATATTAAAAGTGAACAAAGTATAAGTAATTATTAATATGTAACATAAAAATTAGTGAAAATTACATATTTTAAATTTGTAGAAAGGAAACTTGCAATAAAACTGAAATATTTTAAGGAAGAAACTGAGAATCATTAAAATATTTGTTATAGGAACATATAAATTATAGAAAATTAAACAAAATGTAAACTTGAGACAAGCAAGAGATGACGCTTTAATATATTATTAATTATTTGATAAAATCTCGTTTGTAATTGTGAAATAACTTAAATGAAAACCGAGGAATACGAAAACATTAATATGTGTGTTAATGGATCCGAGATTAGAATCTCATTAAAATATTAGTGGGCGGCATGTGCGTTCCATCTAAAATTAATGTACGAAATGTTCTCGCTCCAATAACTGAACGTCGAACACAAACGTATCATAAATACAAAAAAAAATGACGAATTCCTTCATCTCGAAACTTTGCATATTTTAAATTAATACTGGAAAGGAATGCAGAAGCATCTGCTGGAATTCGAGGAACTTTTCGCGCAGTGCTTTCCAAATATTTCAGATAAAATCTCAAAATCAAGTTCATAAACACAAACAAATAACATTGATACGGATATAAAATAAACTTGTATGTAACAAAACCACAGATATTATAAACTTAAATATAATTTTAGTATTTGTTCAAATATTCGACAAAATATGACAAATAGGGCTTATGGTCAATATGGTATTAGTTGACTTTTTTGAAGTTAAATATATAGTAATTTTGTTTTTTTAATTCTGTATATGTTTTTTTTTGTACGACTGATGCAACAAACATTTCAAAACTTAGCATATTTTAAAATACTTCTGGAAAGAAAGGATGGAATTTGAAAAAACATCATTTTTCACGCATTATTTTTCAAATACGATAGCCCTTTGGTTACAATTGGTGACTATTAAAGATTTTTATTATTATTATTTTTCAAATATATTTGATAAAATTTCAAAATCAAGTTCATCTATTTTCTTTGAAATAAACATCTAACATACGTTTATTTTCTCTCACATCGTCAGCATCAAATCCACTAAAACTAATACTGTGACTATTTATAGACGTGAGGTTTATTAACACCCAAAAGACGGTAAAACGTAAAACTCCTTTCATACAATCCAATTAAATATAGAAAAAAAATCCATTAGTTTCATAGATGTCGCTTTCTTTATTTGCCATTTGCCATTTGCCTGTTAAAAAAGTCCAGGGAGCCGAACGTAGTATTACAATCGCTGTTTTTACTAGTGAAATGTTGTTTTCAACAGCTGGGAGCAACAATTTCTTAAGAAAAGATCCGCATTTATAAGTACCAGTCAGTTTTATGTCAGGACACAACCACTTAGTTTTGTTGCGTTAATGGTAATTATATTTACTACTACCCTTGTGAGGGCCCTTAATTTTCTTCGCACAAAAATCGCAACTAAAGGGTTAATTATAAATTATTATGATAACGTTCACCTGTCATAAATCAAATTCAAATGTTTACTTATTTACTCCGTAGATGGCGTACTTCTGTTTTCAAGTGTTTATTACTAATTTTTGTGCTTCAAAAGATGTTGTGCAAAGGATTTTCAAAAAAAAACTAAAAATAATGTCACTCTATTCTATTATCTAAAATAGCAATAGTTAATAGCATAGTAAAACTAATCTCGTATCGCATAATTTATTACATAAGAATGTTGAAATGTCAATTTATGTACATTAAGGAGATGGATGAGATTAACTGCATTCATAAATCGAATGGACTCTGCTCACCAATAAATCCGTTTTTCCTCTCTCGAAAAGGAAACGATACTAAGTAGATTATACCTATTTTTTTATTATTTGTATCTTATCATCGAACATGGATATTTAAATGGCTCGGATCGGAATAGTTTAGAGGTGAACTCCATAAATGGTTAATGATACCTGCATACCTATCAAACGAGACGAGACGTACACGATGGAAACACGGGCAATGGTTAAAATTTGAGGGACTTTCTAAATGGCAAATATGCAACAGACGTAATGCGAATTAGTTTCTTGTATACTTTACGTGATTAATGCAGATCCCATTAAAATGGTAGAAACCTATCCCAAATTATTCATTATTAATATTAAATGTTTGTTCAGTTTATAAGTGTTTGCTGGTTCTTTACAAAATGTCCGCAGTTCTCCTATAATATGACAGTTTAATTTATGGCCTGGAAAATTAATTGATGTTATTACATCGCAATTAGAGTTCCCTCGATTATAATACATTAATTACATCTAAATCTAATTAATACCTGAACGATTGAACGATTTTCATTTATTATATTAACTGTAACAGAAGACTCATGAAAACTAATAGCTTTTATTACTAAATCTCTGTAATATAAACCGGATTTTCTGTTGAAAAATGTCATAACTTAATTAAAAATAAAATGAAATATGAAAAAAGGTTCGTTTTTTATTGTTTACTATTAACATTATTATATAATATTTGGATTACAATAGAGGAAATTCAATTGTGATTAAGGCTGATGAGGTAAGGATTTACACGTCCTTCAAAGTTACGTTATAAAAATATCCTTCGTCGAACGAATTATGAACGTCAAGAAGCGTATTAATAATAGACAATGGATCTATCATTCAATGTTAAAGAGAGAGCGAGAGGGAAAAAACGGTTTTCTTTCCATCTGTAGGTGTGTCGGTTTTAACAATGAACGAGGCTAATTATGAGCGAAAAGAAGTGATCGATCACCGGTCACAATTACGTCGAGTTGAAATAATTAACGGCTCGTACGAAAAAGGAATAAAATAAAACCCTTAAGGGTCGACGGTAATCGGTTGGGATCACGCGAAGGTGGCGAGAATAAATCATTCTTCAGTTTAGCATCGAACAAGATGTTTCGACAGGAGGAGACCGAGGATATTTCAAGGTTCGGAGCTCGAAATCCGCATCAGCGACTCATCGCCGACAATCTTAGGGTTCAGAGGTTCTCCGATGCAGGATTGAGCGAGGAAGCAATCAACTCCATCAACCACAGGGACCTAGCAGAAGACGATCCTAATCTTCTGGACAAGTTTGACGAATTCTACAAGACCACCAAGAGTCTGCTGGTGCTCTTTCAGATCATGGGAGTGATGCCCATTGAGAGATCGGGAAAAGGAAAGACTACATTCAGGTCTTTAAATATTCGATACAAAAATAACCAAACTAAATTGTTTCATCTTCTTCAGATGGTTTTCCAAGACGACGATCTACGCGTATTTCATCTACTGCGTGGAAACGGCCTTCGTAAGCGTCGTCTTCAGAGAACGTCTTCTGCTAATCCTGAAGCCGGGAAAACGCTTCGACGAATACATTTACGGCATCATCTTCTTGAGCATCTTAATACCGCATTTCTTGCTTCCAATCGGCGCCTGGACTAACGGAAATGAAGTGGCCATCTTCAAGAACATGTGGACCAAATTTCAGGTAAAACGAAATATCCAAATAACTTGCAATTAACTGTCTTTTCCATGCAGTTAAAATATTACCGCATTACCGGTACGGCTATCATCTTTAAAAACTTGTCGCTTATCACATGGAGCCTCTGCATTTTCTCTTGGGTCCTGGGAATTCTCATCATGCTCGCACAATTTTACCTACAACCCGATATGCTGTTATGGCATACTTTTGGTTATTACCATATTTTGGCAATGCTGAATTGCCTTTGCTCTCTCTGGTTCATCAATTGCACAGCAAAAGGACGAGTCGCAAAGGATCTAGCTAAAAATTTGCACAGTGCCCTCGAATCTTCGGATCCTGCTAGTCGCTTGGCCGAATACAGAGATTTATGGGTGAGATAATAGCTTCATCTTAAAACTAATTTCGTTATAATACAGCTAAATCTACCTGTTCAATAATATCTACCCTACTTTATAACACCAAGTTATAATTATATCATTAAAGGCAATAAGTATTCTAATCATTTATAGTTGTTAATCTCAACTATCGTAATCATGGCGAATGCAGTCGAGCGACGGATATATCCGCGGAAATTTATACAGAAAACTATTTTTATGCAAAATTGTATGCAGAAGCTGTCATAAAATGCAGTGCAAATTTGTCTTGTTTCATATGCAGGTGGATCTATCACACATGATGCAACAGTTAGGAAAAGCTTACAGCGGAATGTACGGTATGTACTGCATCCTGATCCTGCTGACTACAATCGTCGCTAGTTACGGTTGTCTCACCGAGATCCTCGATCACGGATTATCGTTCAAGGAAGGAGGACTCTTCCTCATCTCATTTTACTGCATGTCCTTGCTGTACGTCATCTGCAACGAGGCGCATCACGCCTCCTACAAGATGGGCCCCGAGTTCCAGCAACGACTTCTCAGCGTCAATCTGATGGCGGTGGACAGCAGGACGAGACAAGAGGTTCATATGTTCCTCACGGCCATCGACAAGAATCCGCCAATCATGAACCTCAACGGATACACTAACATCAACAGGAAACTCATCTCATCAGTGAGAGTAACAAATCAAAATTTTCACTTTAAATCCTTCTCCATAATTTTTCAGACCGTTACTTCGATGGTGACCTATCTGGTGATGTTGATGCAGTTCCGAGCCACCCTTATGAGGAACGCCGCTATCAGCGCTTTCAGAGCTTCAAGAGCTTTGGCAATGCTAAACGAAACGTCCACAATTGAGTAAAAAAAAAACACCCTCTACACCAGAGTACGTTGGCATTCACGTAACCTTTACCGCAATTTCTTTGTAGTCTATTCTTCTCGATAAAGTTTTTATTATTACACTTTGACATTTTTCAGCACGGAAAAGGACGCAGACACGAGAAAATAAATAGAACATCAGACGTCGTTTAATTATCGACAAATTATTTTCCTATATTAGCTTCAATCAAATATATAAGACAAACAAAAAACCACATACAAAAATAATCACACAATCTACCAACATAAACAAAAACACATTATGTTTTACTTTGATTGTTTTTTCTTCTAAGTCATCTTCTTTTACTATCACTATGAAAGAATGCAACAATTTAACACAGAAATAATCTCTAAAATAAAAATGCAAGTCATCAACTTAGTTACAAACTTTGTTATGAACTAAAATAAATCTCATTATAATTAAAAGAATAACCGTTAGTAAGAATGTTTTATTCATGTCAATGTTGGACTATCAAGTAGCAAACTATTCAATTCGCAAATGAAACGAAATTAATGCAAATGCTTTACAATGTATCAAACGGATAGTTTCTCCAATAAAAGAAGAGTTGTGGTAAATGATCTGGCCTTAGGTGCAGATGGAGAGTATAAATCACAGAAGGCATGGGCAATTGTTTAAGACAATGGGGACGAAGAGACGATGATGATGCGGTCATAACATGCCGGCTGATTGAATTCCTCCATCTCGACACCGCAGAATGAAAGCGAGAGAGCGAAAGATAGTTATTAAGATGATGAGCACGTGGCATTTAATTTCCCTAATACATCTTGAGGCAGTAATTGCTTCCCGAAATGAAAAGAAAATAAACTGAAATCGAATTAAATTAAAATAATAGAAATAAACGAAACTTCGAGGATCCATCCAACAAAAGCCATCCTTATTGTCTCGTCTGGAGGTGTATCTTTTTTGGCAAGGTGGTAAATGTAATTTAACAGCGACGACCTTTGACCATTGTGCCTTCATTAGCAGCCGTACACAATACACACTCATCCTTTCGAAACACTCTCGCTCCTGATTGATATCTTCGTATGGATGAGGCAATTTCCGAAACGGCGACGAGATATCAATAACAATCATCAATGGTCCGCATTGTACCGATTTCACCCATCATCATCATCTTATTACAATCCACCTAATGACTGTGCCACCAATCATCAATCAGAGTGTCCAAGTTGTTGTTGTTTTTTGCTGTTGTCGGTTGTTATTATGACCCACTACGATCTGCATTCAAACACCTCAACAGTTCTCAGATTATTTCTTGCTTCGTAATTCGCATTTATATATTAGTCATGACTTTGATGACCGACTCAAATTCTAATTACAAAAAACGCTTACTTTAATTGAAACTCATTGCTGCTCCATTAGCTTCGCAAAATTTCAGTCGCATTTTTCATCAAATTTATTTCAGGACTAATAGGACATTCACATTCAAATAAATTACATAATTAATTATTCTTTTATTATTCATATTAATTTTTATTAAATTGTATGGAATTAAGATAATTTTTAAATTAATGTATAAAGACCGCAGTATTTCCACGGTCTATGAAATATTAAATTTAATTTTAAAATAATTAGAATTTAAAATCGGGATGTATAAAATGTAAATTCTAATTAGTTTACAGTAAAAAAATACATTGTAATTAATAGAAAAAGCTATAGTATTTGTTTTTTAAATTATATATAAAACAACTTTCTAGTGGAAATATGCAGCTATAACAAAAAAAAGTACAGATGTTCGTTAATTTGTCTTTCTTTCCATTTATTCATTTTGGTGGAAGTGCGACCTCACACCAATTCAAGAAAGAACATTTGCGACCGTCAATTTGTCACACACACACGCACGCAATCAATGGTCCACTTAATTGGTGTTAACTCTAATGTACCGAGACGGTTCTCGTATTTCTTCCACTTCTACTCTACACATTTTTTCCCCTTCGCTCCACGCATATGTAGATTCCTTTCCACATGCTTTTTCTCATCCTCGTGCCTATTTTTTTTTTCTTCCCCTGCTTTTTTTTGTTGTTGTAATAAATTTTGTGTCGTGGACCGCCCACAAATGCTCCGCTACAAAAGAACGTCGGGGCTCAATTTGAAAGACAAAAGAAACGCCACGAGCACTAGTGGATATTAACTTCTTTTGAAATTCGAAACGCCCAAACGAAATATAGGGAAGAAATTAATATGTAACGTCTTTTCGTTTCTCTGTGGAATGTCATGTATACTCACAAATAATGGTCAAAGTTTTAATACGAATCAATATATTAAAATTGAATATTTATTGCAATTTACAAATTAGTATAGTAATTTTGCTATAAATATATAAACAAATCTTTAATTTATTAACAAATTTACATTTTTTAAAAAGGTGTAATGAAAGAAGAGTTACCATTTAGTTTTATTTTTTATAGATGGAAAAACTACTTAATTTATATGGTTGATAGTCTTGATAATTTCTATCTGTAATTCTATGTAAACATCAAAATCGATAATCTAAGACAATATTCAACATGTATGCAAAATGTCAGAAAAGAAAACTAACAATTTTGTTTTTAAATAATGGATAGTTTCAATGCATTTATAATCATGTCAACATTAATACAAAGTGTTATAAGAGAAAAGTTTTATATGAATTTATTTCCTATTTTAAATGTTTGATGTTTGATTTGTAATCTAAAAGTAAATTTTGATATACTTGCAAACTTTATTACAATTTGCTATAGAAACTTCTTGATTTGTATAAGATGATGTGATTGTATCTATCCTATTTATAAGTTAAAATCTGGAATATATGTTATCCTGCACAACTGTTATACACTTTATCATAAATGAACCTTTAACATTTTGATACCATATCGAAATTTCTTAATTATTTTCAAAGTTTTTTTTTGTTTACTTTTTCCTGCAATGTTTTTTTATTTGAATACATTTTTAATATGTGATCACTATAACCATTTGTATATTGATAAATAAAGCATTGCAATTGTTTAAGAATTATTGCCTTAATTGTTTCTAATTATGGTTATTATATAAGTTAATGTATCATGCTTGAAATTTCATTTGGATAAATGAGATGAGAAAATATTAATTTTTGGTCCCAATAAATTTACATAATTTTATATACTATGCACTGAGATTTCGGTAGTTTCTGGCATAGTTTTCAATAAGATTTGATGCGTAATAGGCTGGAACTAACTCTCACCTGAGGTAAGTGAGGAAAGGCGATAAGTTTCAATTAAACCGATCTCATTTTCCGCACATTAGACGACCGAAAATCCAGTTCCTGTTAAGAAGCTAATGAACTCGACTTTGCCCGAAGTTGTCCACCTACTGGTTAACGCACCTTAATAGATGACCTGTTATTAATTACGATGAAGAATATCAAGAATACGAAGAAGTTAAAAAGAAGGACGAACCGGACAGGAAGGTAGCGATACCATTGATGATCGTAATCTGCTCCGTGTCCCATTTAAATTGCCACGAAGATTACAGGGCTCCAGGTGCGAATTAAACACCTCGCTCTCTGCATACCAATGAGGATGGACACACGAAAATACCAAAGCGGCAACAACTGAACCATCTTAACAACCGTGAAATGAAGCATTGTCTGGCATCAAGAAAACCGATTTCACAATTTTCAAATTCAACGTGAAAAAAAAATTAGTGTACAAGTATAAATATAAATATCTTAAAATACGACGACTTCCTTAATGAATTAGCGAATTAATTGTTTCCTCGGGCGTGTAATTACCGTGTTACATGCAGAGCCGTGACTAATTGGACGGTAAAACGAATTCTAATTAAATGAAATTCATTCCGATCGGTTAACTTAATTAATCAATTACATTTGTTTCGTTTCTTTCCTTCTGCCTTGAGGATGTTGTAGTAACTGCACTCTATCAGTAATGGAAAACGTTCCTCAAATACGTTCACTTTTTGTGCATTGCTTTCCATCCAAAGTCGATTCCATCAAAACCATTATCTTCTGGATACGTAAATCTACGACTTCCGCTAATTGTTAACATCGCATGGATCGAGAGACGTTTGCAATTGTCTCTTCCAATGTTCCATTGTTCCATCAATGATGTCATCGCATCTAAATCTCTGTCATTACAGTTATATAAGTCCACAAATTCATTTTATCCAATCATTACCAACATAGAAATGTGTCAATTATTACTATTTTAGATTACATTTATTAATATTTACAAATATGTAAATATTCCATACATGGAAGATCTTCTTGTTTTTTTTTATTTGTCCCTAATTATTTACATTATAGGTCGAAAAATTTAAACAAGAAAATAAATTGTTGAATGTAAAGTTTGGAAAGCAGATTTGTGTTCACATTTGGATTCTTGTTTGGATCTGTTAATCAGCAGAACAAGAAATGATTGACCAAGCTCAATTTTAGGAGATAATGCTAATTGAAAAGGTACGTCCAATATTAATTAAAATCGAGCTATAAAAAAGGTTTCTCCGTATTCTCTCTAAGTGTATAATTTACAGAACCCGTCCAGACATCTCTCCAATGATGAATATAAATCATCAACGATGAAGAACTTATTTATAATTATATAATAAAAAGCGATTTAAATTTCTCCAAACTCATCAGTTTTCGTGGTACAGATATAATTAATCAAATCATAATAAGTTTTAGATGTATTAATAATTTCTTGAAATTAAATTCACAAATATTTAAATTATTTCACGTTATGTAAAAATTTTCGTGAAATAAATAAAAGTAGAAAATGTGATAAATACAACTTTAAAGTGTCAATGAAAAATTGAATAATGCCACGTGTATATTATACATATAATAATAATGCTAATGATGGTTGATGTTAAATTATATAACTGTTGCACGTATTTATGTTTACGTTTCGGTTCGTTTCCCATTGATGCGGTCACAACAATCTTATCAATATTTACACAACGAAATGAAATATCGACTCGGTGTCATTGAGAAATCTCGAAGAAGAAAAAGCTTTAGCGTGTCGATCTGTAACGCTAATGATGCGACTGAATTGAAATGAGGTGGAAACGCACGAACGAACCAACGACGAATCACTCAGTCTCCGTGCATTTGTAACAATTAT